AACAGTATTATGTGCTGGATAAAGTTTCAGACAATTAACTGTCCATATTCACATCATCATATGCATATCACGAAGGACTAAAGTGGAATTAAAATCTACCACATTGCCCGAGTTTTACTCCTGCAGGTTTTCTCTTGCCTATCCAAGGAAGAGTATGCTAAGTAGTAGTCAACTGTATACGCATTTGCGTCTAGGAGACCCGGTCATTTGAATGTAGAAGATACACAGACATTTTGAGGTTAAGACTAGTCAGCTCATCCTCTAGAAGTGTTGTCATACGGCCATTCATTCACAGCTACTGGCAGCGAAAGCACACCACCTTCAACGCGGCGGGGTGTTCCCACACTAGTGACAGAGCGAAAGCAAGTGTGTGGAGAAATAGATACGGAGGTCAACCTAGGGGAGATGATAAGTCCTGATCACACATAAAGGATGCACATCAATTTCAGGATCTACAACAGACAAACAACATACGAGCCTACTTTCGTCGCTGTTAACCATCAGAATGTAGCAACTGACGGTGCTACGCTGCCATGTGAACCAAACTTTAAGTAACGTAAGCAACGAGTGGTCTATTCAGACAGCTATGAACTTAGATCTACGCATCCAGGTAGTTTTACAGCCCCCATACAAAGCACAGATTAACTTTTACGTCGAAGAGTTTATCAAATCTTGTGAGATCTTAAACGTGAACCGCATCGCTTCCCCTTTATTATTCCCGACTTTTTTCAGACCTCTGTGCACCACTCAGCTACCCATCAATGACATTAATTCTACCAGTTGAGATACAGAGCACTCCATAAGGTTATCCTTCAGTACCATATTTGACTCAACTATTCTGAAACCATACGTTCCCTTATGGCTGGATGATTTGAGACTTCCCATTTTGACAACAGAAAAATTGACAGGTTTATCTAGGACTCTAGAATGCTTCACCATTGATTTTTACTCAAGTGAAGTCCTTCAAATTACCTTTCCGGTTTCCTCTCAAAACATATCTACATATCTCTGACATTGGGAGTTGACCTTGCTGGTGTCAGTGTTGCAGTGAGTGCTACGGCGAAAACTGCACTTGTAAGCCGGACCTACGTTAACAGTTATCTCTGCGTTATCAAGCTGAAAAGTCAGATAAGAGTGGGCAGTAACTGACAATGGAAATGATATCTCTTCGTCATTTCTGTCTATGCTCCAACAGACTGTGATTAAATTTGTGTTCTACTATTGATTGAATGACTTTGTATCAAGTGTGTTTGATGGATACCGTACTGTTGGCAGGTAGATTAATTTTTGTCTAGACACAGAAAAAGGCCACTCGTGGGACCTATGTCGAATAGTTGGTCACAGGTCGGATAATAAATACTCTATCCGGTGCCTTTGTGGAGATCGCTATCGATTTCCAACCACAGTCAACTTCCAGCAGACCTATCGTCGTTGTACTAACCAGTGATTTCCATCTGCCATTCATTTCTCAAAACAAATAGATCGTAATACGATTAGATACAGATCGAGTGAATATATTAACAACGTCCATGGCTTTCAAAGCATCTGGAAGGACTCAGATCATGATAGGGTGTGTACCAAGCTCATTCCTTATAAACAGATTGATGCAAGCTAACTGGTTGCAATCAGTGTGAGAACTAAATACCAAAGCAAGCTATACTGAACACTAGCTAATGAGCCTCCTAGAAAGCATAAAACTTTGGCAACACCGTAAAAACAATGAGTACGATTCTTAATCGCTCTCTACATCTACACTTTAGAACAGTTCGACAACTAGGTGAGCACAATCAACCTGCTTACAGCAATCTTCATACTGATGAGGATGATTTTGATGACCACGGAAATGCGATATCACAGTGGCATAAAATATAAAATGATCGAATTTCACGGATGTACACAGAAGCAGCGGTCACTAATATATTTCTTACGTAACAAACTACGCAGCACTTACTCAAGGACCGTTATGTGTACTAAGCGTCAGTGAAGATATTTCTGTCTTATACCTATGTAGACTGACTTCTCAGAGCTGATAATATTAGGTAACTCTATTAATCAGTCACTGATATCTGTGTAGGACCGCCAGCTTACAGTCAGATGGTTACGTAAGTAATTCTGATGTGTTTTCTCAACGGCGATCACAGCCGGCTTGGGCCGTCTAACGATAGGGTGATTAGTTGAGGTCTCAAGCAAACAATACTATAGCAGATTTCTCCAAAATGAATCAAAAGCAATGAAATGTTGAAAAATACAACTGTTGGCCAGCAAAGATGAGGTTTAAACATTATTAAGTTTTCTAGTACAAAACTTCAGTGAGGACTGTATTGATTAGAGGACAGGAGGCTAGAATGTTAAGCAGAACACTTTGAAGCACAGGTCAACTGGCCCTCAGCAACACTTCAGCAGCTCAACAAGCGATCTGAACATGGATAGGATGCAGACGTCGATCCTCCAGAGTGGGTAGACCAACATCTATGTCCGACTTAGGTCCAGGTCGGATGTCGGGCAAATGAAGCGTTGCCGTGGCCCAGTTGACCTGTGCTTCAAAGTGCTCTGCTCAAAGTTCTAGCCGCCTGTCCTGGGAGGTTGTCAGGGTAGCATCCTTTTCACGGACGGTTTCACTAACCGTCGTTTCATTCTTACCGATATCCTTAATAAACTTAAGTAGTTGCCGAATGTTACCCATCGCTGATGCCTTCTCCATCTCTCTTGCTATTACAATCCACCACCGCATGCGGCCATTTTTCACGGATACTTACTTTATTAACGTTTCAGTTGCTTCCAGTCCTCATTGTAGTGAGAACCAGCTAGAATCAGTGTTTCTGCACCAATCAGTTGGGATGGTGTTGCGGAAATCCAATGAGATTTGTTAACTTTCAGGTGTGGGTAACCAATCGTCTTTAGCGCTGTTTCTGTGGCAGACTGAATATCACACCAGGTTTCCTCAAAATGAGCATTATTGTCACCTTCCGACAATGTTTAGCTAACTCCTCCCTAAATAAGTACTTCGTGTCCTAATCTTTCAATCGAGCAGAGACATGCTTTACTATCGCCTGTTTCCTAAGACCAGTAAGGCGCAAACATAGACAAGCCTATAAGACCGTTTGATCGGAGTCCAAACATGTATTCCAGAACGAGTGGGAGTGGTTTACAGCAATATGCTCTAATTGTGTCCAACACTGTTTCATGTCAGCTGATACCATGTGACACTGTGTCCGTCTTTAAGTTTGAAGTTGGTGCTGGTGAGAAGTAAGTGATTGTTGAAACAAAAGTGAAAGTGACGTTCTTTGTTATCGGTTCCTTGGGGGTGGAGTGTCGTAAACCGGACTCCAATCGACTCAGCTTCCCTACTTGTGTATCAAAGTCACCTCCCATTAGGTCTGCGTGTGAACGGTTTGCTTCGTCTAGCAAGATTGAACTGCAGTCAGTTAACTGTGTGGGCGGAGATTACGAATAGGCATTGGTTAGCCTCACAACCCGGATACTCACAAGGTGAATTTTATCACCGCACTCGGGTCCTATATACGTTCCTCAGAGACATAGCAAACATCCTTAACTACAGATTCCTGAGTTCTGGCGAGCAATGCCTGCAGTTCGATTCGGCATAGGGTTAGGATGTTGAGATGAAACGTGGAATTAACATGGGGTCTTAGAAGAGTGAGAATGAGGTTACTATGACTTGGATAGTTGGTATTTGATGCAGTGATAGGTTGGGGAATATATAAGGTTTAATACCAGGGGCGAAGGAAAAGGAAACAAGGGTAAGGAGGGTAATTTATGCGTGACTGTATCTTGTGTACTACTGGAAGTGTGTGGCGGTTGACGCTTCCTGGCTACTTACACCGTGGAGGTTGTTTCTGCAAGGTACGTCAAAGGAAACGTTTTGCATGACCGTAGAGCTCATGGGACGTCTGCCTGAAACCTAGCAAGCACAGTCTTTCGAGGATTATTGGTATGAGGTTTGATTGTTCTAACACCGGATAGAAAAAACCATACCACCGATACCTGAAGACAGCAAGTGGGGTAGGAGAGATACACCATTTTGTGGGTCAACCTTTTCTAACCTACACCACTTCCTATTGGGAAGGCAGCATCAACCTGGTACAGTTGCCCATCTAAAAGAAACACCTTGCTGCTGTCTCGCCCTAGTCAGCCAACAGTACGAACTTCCCCTCATACCCCCATCAAAGGGTAGCAATTCACATTATAACGATGGCTGCTTTTCAACTTAACACTAAACAACAAACTTTGCTGGTATAATAAAACCTAAAGCAAAAAAACTTTCCGGTCAGTTTAGCCCATTGGGTAACTATGATGTGTAAGCCCAACTACCACGCCGAGGTAGCAGCAGCTGTTGGTCGTGACAAAATACAGTAACATAATACAGTATTACTTACCAATGGCGATCCGAGCGCAATTTATTTCTTAAAATCATATCAATATACATTATTTTTTTAATTTTAGTATGTGATAAAATGTATTTTAATTTAGTAAACGATCACTTTTTTGACCAAACAAATAAAAATGCCTACGTGATATTACTCCAAAAATTAAAACAGTTCAGTTTACTTTCCCAACAAATTCAACTAACAGAAATAGCCATATGTACTTCACAAGCTTGTTGAACATAGAAAGTAAAGAAATAACAAAGTTACGGCAATACACTGAAATTTTATTTGATAATGTCTTAGCAAATTCATGCACGCTTCCTTATTTTATAAGAAATATTATCCGTTTAATATATTTAGAATACGAATTTTTTTATTTACAAAGATCAAAGCAAATGATAAAGAGTATGCCTAGTTTTGACTAAAAAATGTTTCATATGATGAGACGCTGTATCCGACAGATTTAGTGTTTAAAAGTATAAAATGGATGGATGGATTGCAGCATACTTCAAAAGCAAACAAAGGTGGGAACAAGAGTCTAATATAAAACGAAAATCAAGAAAGTAAATTAATTTCGCCAAGGATTTCGACTAGTTGTTGATTGCGGAAGGTGATTTAACGGTTTCGATGCTTCACGTTTTGTTGAGGAGTCACGGATCGTGAGACTGGTTTAAGATTTGGCGCTTTCGATTTTGAGTCTTCACGATGCTTTGCTGAAGGATTACGCGAACACGACACTGCTCTTGAATCTCTTGTACGATGGGTGGAATTCATGTGTGTCGCTGGCGAAGCAAGAGAACATGAAGAAACCGTTGTATGGGGCAATTTTGGAATAGAATCATCACGGTTTCTATGAGAATCGCGAGTCCGTGAAGCGGTTCGAAGGTTAGGGGCTTTTGGTACAGTTAGACGAGGAGTAACAATTACTTTTGATTGCTTATTTTTAGATGTATTCAGCGCAGTTGAAGACTGAGAATTGATGTTTCCACCATTGGAAACTCCAGTAACTAAAACCGTGCTAACTGTACTGGATTCACTCCTAGGGCTTTCCATACTACAGTTACTGCTACCATCTGACGACTGTCTGAACAAATTACTCACAGAATGGACATGTGGAACTGATGATGAATCAAAATCAGAACTCCTACGAATTGGTTTCATAACATCAAAACATGATTTAATAGGAGGAACACAAGTGGATACAATTGATGTCTCCATAGCACATGGAAGTACACCCCGTCTACAGGATCATGACGCTGCAAGAATTCATCCAGTGTTAGCCAACCTCCACCAACCCTAACCATCACATGATTTCGAAATCTGCGCAAGTAATATATTCTTGTACCAAGCCGATATCGACCTTCTTCCAAACGCTGCATATGTAGTCGATTGCAACACGTACATTGTGCTAACTTCTTATTAACCTAAAGCATAAAAAATATTTAAAAAAGCAGTAAAATAACTCAACTTTAAATAGCAGAGAAAATTTTATCAAACCATATTTGAATGACATTAATACGAAAAAAGTATGCGCTTTCACATGCATTATACATTCAGATATAGCATTAGGAGTCTAATCGTTGAAATAATTTTAATCCTTAACCTAGTAGGCCGAGATACAAGCAATGAGATAAATTTAGCACAAGATCGAAAAATCCATCAACTAATGACATTCCACATATTCACTGAAGGCTCGCACATTCCGAAACAATATACATTCATCACATTAACAAAATTTTAAACATTTTAGGCAGAAACGTTTTGCTATAATGACAATTCAGACAGACAATAAACACAGGCAACGTATGCACAGAAATTTACATAAAAAGCACACAACAAAAATTGAGCACAACTAAACATTTAAAACAGCAAAATAACTGACGCATGACGAAGGGAAAAACCAAAACAAGCAACAATATAACATAACGTTAGTCAAGCAATCTGCATACATCAAAACAAACATCCATTTCATTACCTGACCATCAATTAAATAATCATCAGTTATTGAAGTAGATAGGTGCTCTTCACAACTTTCAGGGTACACCAAAAAGTCCACAAGTGACAAATTAGGAACAGGTGAAGTGTAGTGAGTATCTATCATATTGGAGATTTCTTGGTAGAAATATATTGGTGAATCATCATGTAAAACACCTAAGGTGTTGTTAGGAGTTCTCAAATCAACAGAACTTTCAACATTATAAGAAGATACAGAGTTGTCGGCTGAATCAGAGTCAGTCGCGGAAGAATTATAGCACACACTATTCGAGTTCATAACTGAAGGTAATACATTCGCCTTCTTTGTAATCTTCAGAGGTGTAATCTCAATTATCGGCATTTGAATATCTAAATCATTCAGTAGAAGTGCCTGACGTCTCTTCCTATTGGTAGCAACAGGGCACAGTGAGTCAACCATCTTCAAAGCATCAGTGTGCTTAGGACCAATATACTGATTAAACAGAACAACGTGGCGGGAAAGAATAGAACAGAATTATGTTGTGAACCATATTATCAACAAAAAACAAGTGTAAATACAACACGAAACTAGAAAATAAAATGGCATTAAAACAAGAAAATATACACATATACCCGTGATTTGGTTAAATGTACAATATTTCACTTTTCCGCAAATAAGATCATAAAAGAACACCATACAGAAGTGATAGGAATGCATAAACGAAGATAGGAAACATGTGTATACAACACATTCGGTTACAGATGTGTACGCGCATGTTATAGCGTATCCACAAACTGTCCGGATGAAAACAAGCTGTCAATATTTAATTAGTGGTGTATATTAGAGTGATAGCTACAATATCAGGAAATAGTGAACTATATGGACAGTAATCGAGATACAAATTTATTCATATAAATTTACAACAGGTGATATTATATATATTCTTACTATACAGCTAACGTAAAATAAAAACGTTCGTGGGGCCTGGATCCAAAGCAACCCTGAACTGAACAAACACGAGGATGCACGAAAAAAAAACACAAAGTTGAGTCGTAATGTGCTCTAGTAGTTATTTATCAGCATACATTGCGTGCTGCACCTATAAAGCGTCGACTTTACCATAGGCAGACACGTTACTGAAATTACTACCCGTCAGAACGCCACCAAAAGTATATTAAATTGATGCTTTTCATGAAGAATGACAATTACTCTGACCAACAATCAAGTAAATCCAAAAAATGTAGACAGCAGTGCGAATCAGGTAGTATAAAAGTGAGAAAAGCTAATCGGCGCACAAATAAACGTCTACACAAATGTGACTTACTAAAGTGAAACTAGCTACTGGCTGAATCACTGCTATAATAACATTTATCCTCTGAAAGAAAAGTAAGTAGAGAACAAGTTGGGCCTAAAACTTAGGGTAAGTGTTCCAAAGAGAATTATTCAATCGTCTCACTTTCTGTACAAATAAGTTTCAATATTTTACAGTGACTGGTTAACAAACACTAAACTGTGAATTGAGCATTTATATAAATGAAGAAACTATCAGGCAAATTGACTAATCCACACGAAATTTAATGCAGGGAAACGAAAGGAGTGACAGAGAGAAAAAGAATGCTTATTGTCACAGATCACTATAAGAAGGGAAAATTAGGATAGTGGAAGTCCTTCCGGTTGTTCAATCCTGAGTAGCATTATTCAATGTACTACACTGCCCAATCCTGCTACTAAAAACAGTATAGCCACTCAATCCAGTTTGTCGAATAAGAAAATCACAGTGCCACTGGCATTTCTCTACCTGTTTACGATGGCTTACTTTGGAACTCGGTTACTGGGACGAACTCGTTAGAACACTTTGTTTGTGTAGAGAACAGTAAAGAACACTCATCAAAAGGGTATATCCATAAAGCATAGGGTAATGATTCAACCAATCAATATCACAAACAGGACCAGGTATTACTACATAACGGTTCAGGTTGTTACACCTCATATCAGCAACTCAAATAACAAAATAAGACGATGAAATAATGAAAGAAAATCGGTCAGAATGAAGTAAAAGAGAGGAGGAAGGAATGATAAAATTCTGAATTCAGTAAGGCGTTTACAATAAAGATGAAGTGTGGATACATTTGCACCAATGACACTGATTCTGAGCTATATCACCTAGAGTCCCCAACCACTTCTGGTTTCTGCTGTCATGTGGACCACAACCAGTTAGTGTGCATCTTCCCATATGGCTCAGACCAACAGTCAAGGACTTCATGCAATGATGCCATGTTTTAGTCTGGCCGCCTCGAGCTAACACTGCGCGACGAGGTATGCGCAACACATATCCCAGCCATCTCAGTCGTTAAGCGTTCACAACCTTAACAACTGATTTTTCTCTCCTCTCAAAAGCTCTACATCTCACTCCTGCGTTACTGACGCAGTGACACCACGACACACGACTTATGCCACAAATAGGATGGTGGTCAAACATCTGAAGCCCTCTCATATCCTTCACCTTTAACAGCTATGCAGTAGAACAGGGAGAATTGCAGCACAGCACACCCGACCCTCAATAGACAACCAAATATCGAGGTGGCGCCACAAATGGTGTAGGTTGATGAAAGCCAACCGGTCCAGTCCTGGAGCAACAATTCGCATTTGAGTGGCGAGAGACGCGTCGCAATCATTCTCAAATTGCCATTCAAGGTGTCCAAGGAACTGCATCTTGTCAGCATCTTCACCTAACAAGACTATGTGAACCACGTATTCTAAATCAACCAAAGAATTTCCTGTGATTAGATCAACCCCTGGTCATGTAACATGACGAGAGGTAGATCTCCATAGGAACGTCTATGACAAAATTGAACAGTAATGGAGACAGTGGGCATCTTTGATGGACACCGCTCCATGTACACAGCAAACCTGAAAACCCACTACAGGCTCCAATACGCTCCAAGCTGTTCGAGTATAGAGCCTTCAACGGTGATGTACTTATAAGGTACTCCTTTCGACAAGGGATACTGACATAAGACCTCTCGACTAACGGAGTTCAATGTCGCCATCGGGCCAAGAAACACAGCCATTGTGGGGCGTCAGTAAGTGTGCTTGTATACCAACCCCTAGCGGAGTGTGAATATCAGGTCGATACACCCCCCCGATCAGATTTTCTCAGGCTTGCTGTTCCCGAGCTCCACTTAGACTTCTAATGATTATAGAAGCTACAATCTTAGCTACCATAATCGTTAGGCTGATTCCACTGTGGTCTTTACAAGAGGACTTCTCGCCTTTCTTGAAGACTGGGACAATTAGTGATTGAGACCAATCAGATGGGATCATATCTACCTCCCACATACTTGTTACCACTTAAGTTAACTTGACTATAAAATCCTCAACCATCGTCCTTAAACGCCTCTGTCTGGACCTGCTTTTCTTCCTCAGCATAGATTACCTACAGTTTTTTCACAACTGCAAGTGTTGAGGGTCCTGTCTCGATGTTCCATTCAAGCTCCAACTGGAAAACGGGAAAAGAAATAGTAGCTGGAGGCCAGTTGAACTGTCCTTTAAAGTGTTCCTCCCATCCTCCCAACACTTTCCTCTATGGTTCCATTAATCACTGACCTTTTCGTCTCAGTTTCCTAAATTAGTCTACAAACTGATCTACTGTTATCTATCATTACAGCCTTTTTCATCTCTTCAGTTTAAAAAAAACCATAACTTACTCGATATAAAAGCACAATCTTTAGCATAATGACACTCACAATCTGAGTTCACTATGAATTAATAATATTATAAAGCCTATTTGTCGCTTTACGCATATCATACAACAGTCATCAACAATTAATCACCGAACGGAGTACATTATTCATATTGGATGAATTTTAGTACTTGTTTATTGATAGTAAATCAATGTACAAGACCAGCTAGACTTTAAAATAAATTTATTTCTTTAGTTTTGTTACAAAACTAACACTAAATCCTTTCTTATGGTACCAACATTATTCATAAAGAATAGAGTAATAAAGGTCAGTATCAGGTCACATTAGAAACACAGCTGAGTAAGCAATATAAACACGGATTTATAGGTGGGTATACTCAACCGGGTTTTATTGTTGTCTTTATCTTTCAGAGTCAACAGTTGTTTATTAAATCGTGTCCCTAAACTTAGTTACCCTTTAGTAACAAGTATACTAAATTAAATACGGAAAAAAGCAAGTTTGAATAAAAACAAAAAATGAATATTTCCTTTACATTTATGGTGCACGCACGCATACAACATCCCATACAGTTCACTCCCATCAACAAATGTCTACTAGTCACCAGAAAAAGACAAATGTACGAGTGGCATAAATACTTTTACACTATGAAAATCGAAGCGTAATAAGTTTGGTTACCTAGTCTTTTACTGAATTAGTAAGTTGGTCAATTGGATAACAATAACTGGTAACTTATTCATACAGGTACCTGATTTTCAACCATCAAAAGTGCTATTTGTTGGTACTTTGAATTTTCCTTTGTTATACTGGACCAAACTGATCCACCTCTGTTAATAAATGGGCTCTCATGTGGATGTCTCGAACCTGTGGCCCAATAGTTGATAGTCATCTCCTTAAACCATTGAGCCACAGCTTCACTCATCGATATTATCTGAATATTTATCATTGTAATTTACTTGGTGACAACTACAAGTGAAATACACGACACGCGCTTCATCATATCAAGACGAAATAAATTATAACACTGGATAATGTGCTTGAACACCTATACATTCGCATCAGGGTTAGGTGAACAAGATAGTGCGTTCACTCTTCATAGTCTAGCATAAGGATTTTTTCATGTTTGCCGTTTCTGAGTAGCACTCAATTTTATGGTAAGATGACCAATGAAGTCCTGCAGTAGAAGTTTCTTTTCGCAACCGTAGTTAATTTTGTACGTAGTTTTTCTTAGTTTACGATACGAAAGTTTAAGGACACTGACATCTAGGAACATTGACACCTCTAGATTATGCTCTCTGCTATTTTCAGCAAATCTCAACCGGAACTGTGAAGGATCACTAACTACTTTTGTATTTTGTCACATGAGGATAGATCCTTTTAGCTCCTCACATAGTGCAATCAACCAGTAAGTCGACAACGGCTACTTATGCAGAAACTAATTGGTTGCAGTATAACAGCCTAATTAGAAACCACCACTGATTTTACAAATTGAACAAGAAAGTCTAAAACTCTTTGCTATCCAGTAGGTAATGTCTCATCACCTACACGCCGACATCCAACAAACATTTGAAGTTGTGGTATATTGGAAAATTCACCTTAGAGGTAAATATACGCACTTTAATCTAAAGCCAGTATAATCACTTGGGTCAATGAATGGTGAAAAAAAGAAAAAGAAATTAAAACAGGTAATTAAAATGCAAAACAACCAATGTCAAATCTTATTTCAAACTTTTGCTAACCTAGATTTATAATTTATTCTGGTCACTTGAAATAACTGTGCATGCAATGATAATTTGAAATTTACCATACTCAAATGGGTACTTAAACAATTTTTTTAACCGTAGCTCTTCAACATGCAAACACCGAGAGTGCCTTGAACAGAATTAAAGTGAGACAAGAGATGCTGGTCTATTTGACAAAATTCATAAACAAGGTCGAAATTCTCATGAAAAGCCTTATTTCTGAATAGGAACAGAGGATTTACATTAAAATCGAAGGAACAGTTAACAAGCCAAAGCCACTGCAGTGCACTTGTTCATTGTTAATAAAGTTCCAATGGTCGAAATACACACCAGTTTATGAATTATGATATTCTCATGTGGGCAACAATGCATAAATTCAAATGAAAATTTAACAATAAACCAGTACTTCCGCATGGTGTTAACTCTATCTCAAAAAGAATATAAAGTTTCCATTCAGAAAAAAGCAATACATCATCATGAAACCCTACAATGCTAAAATGCATTTTATGAAGATCATTAGACTTTTTTGAAATTATGTCTCATCAAAAACCATTTGAGAAAGTTGTGTGTATTTCGTCCCTAGGAATAGTGATATAACCATCAGTCAGAAATTCAAATGAGAAACCATGCTAAGTTCTGCTTAAAAAGCTACTTTTGTATAGTATTTTTACTTTAAACGAATTCATGCCAAAACTCATACAAATAATGTTAATTTAACCAACCAGTAGGCTAAATAAATCAAATCAATGAATATCAAAGTTCCTTTATACTGTTGTCCTGATCATGATTTCAAGTATGATAACGAAACGTTTTCCAGTCAAAATTACAGATAACAAGATAACTTGGTTTCAACACGTTAACTCTTAGCACCGATAACCATTGTGTAGCTAGTAGAAATATGTTTGAGTGAAACCAGATAAAGGTGATCAAAGAAAAGCTCCACTCAAAACTGCATCGTTTCAAGTTGCACACTTCACGAGCAGAACAGTAAAATGAAATCAACAAGAAAGATAATATTTTCGACATAGCTAGTCGAGTGACAAGTAAATGAACTTAATATACCTGACTATTTCTAACATCAAAATATTGTAACACATGCAAACAAGATTAAGTAAGTTGATCACGTTTCTATGAACACATATTCACTTAACTATTGAAACATACCTGAAAAGTATTGACACGATGAATCAAACAATAAGTTATACAGGTCACAACTGAAAACATAACTTAGCATTCAACCAAAACTTCCTAGGTTTAGCCATTCAGGAAAAATTAGTCCATGAACTATAGAGCACAACACGGTCAAACCGGTAATTTAGTAAGAAAGTAGACGGTTCACAACAGTTATTATGAGAAATAGTTGCAGTCAGCTTCCAATAGTTTAACTTCAATAATTACAGTACGTAGGCATTGCGAAAAACTTCATAAAATCTTCAACTACGAGGTATGTGGGAATTCATTTATTGATGAATATCAACTTGAAGTCGATAAATAAATCCCACAAACCTCCAAAGTGAATTAATCTAGTGTCCATCTCAAAATAGTTTTGATATGAGATTCCCGAAGTTCCAATGAGGTGCTGTGACCGGTGAAGCGAATCAAGTAGATACCCAGTGAGGGCAATGGATGGACCCAGTGGCCCAGTGATAACGTGCTGGCCAGAGGGTCTGAGGGTCCTGGATTCGATCCCTGGTGGGGCTATGGGCGCGTACTCCTGAGGAGTCACATGCTGCGATGAAGCAGCTGTGAAGTGCTCCCAGGTTTCCAATGTTTTTCGACTGATGTCAGCCCATGATGAATACCAACCTGAAACTCATAAAATATTCTGAAAGATAACGACAGAGCTGATTCATTGGGCTAGTTATCCGACTTTCAACCAGTCGGTCGGTCGCGGGTTTGCATTTTTATGAGGTGTTATTCGCCATATAATGCTGTTGCCGTTCCTTGTTTGCACAAATGTACATAGTTGCCTGAGTGCATTTCGATGTTTTCGGTCTTCAAATAGTATATATCTATGCGAAGATTGAGTGAACTACTTTATTTTGCAGAAACTATTGTTGTTGACAAAGTCAACGGTATACAGAAAGAAAACATGAAAAGTCTTTTAATCTCTTGGTATCTACATTTTGAACTTATTCTATTTCTATAACTAACCATCTTTTCTTAGTCTCCACCACTAGTTTCAATTGTCTTCTTTCATAAAACCGTAAACTTTGCATTCGTGGTCATCTACTGAGACAGAAAATTAACAATTAATAGTGTATGATTTGTAAAGTGACTTTTTCCAACTTTTATATTCACCTGTCATCTATAATCGCATAACTCTAAGTCGACTAATTGTAGTTTGATCGGATTAAGTCATTTTACTATCTCAATAATCACTATGATTTTAGACAGTTTGCAGCTCATAGCAAGTAACGAAATACTGTGAATTGATTTCATTCTGCACTTTCTGTCGTTTTATTACTGTATAAATTGGTCATCCGAACTCGATTTATGCAACTGTTTGTTTCGTATTACTGATGGATAGTGGTTAGTAGTGGCGTCCAGGACGCGCGTTTCATCCTATTTGGGACTCGTCAGCTGGGTATACCTGCTTCCCAGTGGGTGATGTTGTTCTCACTTAGACTCGAGGTCAGGAACAATCCCATGAAACGCCAGGGCACTACTCACTAGCCCACCGAGTGACGATAGCCACTCGGTACGACGGGTCTAGTATGGGTTGTATATCTCTATTGTTAACTGGTCCCCATTGGTATACGGGCTCCTGTCTAAATCCCTCATACTAATGACATTTTTTTTCGAATTTGATATTGATGGATAGCTGAAGACAGCGGAATCCAGAAAGCCCATTTCGTCTTAGTGGGTACGACATCCACTGGGAAGAATGTACATCCCGCTTACGAGTCTTTAGTAGGACGAAGCACGCGTCCTGGGTTCTACCACTAGCCATTATCTACCACTAATATCAAATTCGAAAAAATACCGGCAATATCCAGCCATTTCCACAGGAGCCCATATCCCTATAGTGGCCGACCAATATAATCGAATCACTACAAATTTCATCTCAGTTTCATGTAAGCCAAACAGCTTAACTCCACATGTAATGAAACCCAAAACAGTAGCAGAAGAAAAGCCTGTTAGCGATCAAGCAGCGAAACAAAACTTCGTTAAGTTGTTAGCCGATGACTCACACTAAATAGGAAAAAATGAACTATTCTAATAGGGATATACGACACAAAAATACCAGTGGTTAGAGACATTATGTTACATGGATCACAATCAATAAGC